TTCACGGCGCGCATAACGGAGATAAAACACCTCAATTACTGGGAGCGCTTGAGGTTCCTGAAACTGTATTCTCTGGAACGCAGGCGGGAGAGATACATGATTATATACACCTGGAAAATCCTAGAATGACTAGTACCGAACTTGCACACGAAAATCACTCACTACGAAAGCAAAAGACTTGGCAGACGATGCAACATCCCCCCAATGAAAAGCAGGGGTGTCACTAGCACGTTAAGAGACCATACAATAAGTGTCAGGGGCCCGAGACTGTTCAACTGTCTCCCAGCATATATAAGGGGGATTACCAACAGACCCCTGGCAGTCTTCAAGCTGGCACTGGACAAGCACCTAAAGTCGGTTCCTGACCAGCCGGGCTGTGGCTCGTACGTTGGTTTGCGTGCAGCCAGCAGCAACAGCCTGGTTGATCAGGCTCTGATCCACCAGGAGGCCTGGTCACAGACCGGGCCGCGGGGGCGTTGACCCCTGGAACTCTCTCCAGGTAAACTCCAGGTAAACTACATCACTTGCCAGACTATTCCACTTATTAACAACTCTGTGACTGAAGAAATACTTCCTAACATCCCTTAGACTCATCTGAGTCTTCAGTTGTGACCTCTTGTTTCTGTGTCCCATCTCTGGAACATCCTGCTGTGTATGATAATCTATGTAACTGTATTTGTGTATACCTGAATAAGCTTACTTATTTACTAAGTCAAGCTGTGGCACATTTTCACTCAGTTCACACACGGAGGTCGAGGGTTCGAATCTCCTCCAGTACGGCTGGAAAACATTAGGGACGTGTTTCCATAAGACACCTGTTGTCCCTGTCCCTGTTCACCCATCAGTTTAAAATGGGTACCTGGGTGTTGGTGATCTGGTGTGGGTCACATCCTGGGTGTTAGTGGACTGGTGTGGGTCACATCCTGGGTGTTAGTGGACTGGTGTGGGTCACATCCTGGGTGTTAGTGGACTGGTGTGGGTCACATCCTGGGTGTTAGTGAACTGGTGTGGGTGGCATCCTGGGTGTTAGTGGACTGGTGTGGGTCACATCCTGGGTGTTAGTGAACTGGTGTGGGTCACATCCTGGGTGTTAGTGAACTGGTGTGGGTCACATCCTGGGTGTTAGTGGACTGGTGTGGGTGGCATCCTGGGTGTTAGTGGACTGGTGTGGGTCACATTCTGGGTGTTAGTGAACTGGTGTGGGTGGCATCCTGGGTGTTAGTGGACTGGTGTGGGTCACATCCTGGGTGTTATTGGACTGGTGTGGGTCGCATCCTGGGTGTTATTGGACTGGTGTGGGTCGCATCCTGGGTGTTAGTGGACTGGTGTGGGTCACATCCTGGGTGTTATTGGACTGGTGTGGGTCGCATCCTGGGTGTTATTGGACTGGTGTGGGTCACATCCTGGGACAAAATTAATTTATTTTCAATATAGTAGTATGTCATTGATGTCAACTATGGTCTGTTTACCTTGTACATGTACTTGTAGAAATAAAGATATTATTATTATTATTATTATTATTATTATTATTATTATTATTATTATTATTATTATTAAGGCCAATCAGCCCATTCTACTTAAAAGATTAATTTTTCTCTAATTTCTAGAACAGGTGAACAATTTACATCCCTCACACTTATTTGGGCACAAAAAAGGCATTTCCACGTACTTAAGATATATAAAAAACATGGCATGTAACGTTTTTCCAAGATAAGATGAGTCAGGAATCTTGATGAGATGACTCAGCCTCCCAAGCTCATGACATCACCAAACATCGAAAAAATCACGATTTTTTCGAATATTCTGGCTAGATAATAGCCATATATAACAAACACAGAAGCCTGTACATCAGACCATTAATGCCACGACCCGATTATTAAATAACAACGGAAATAAGATGAGAAATTAGTGAAAAAAATGGGGATTTTTGTGAAGGTTTGGGAGGAGTTGGTCAGTGTGTGAGAGGGACGGGAAGGGGCCGTCAGGCAGCTCCTCTGGTGCTTATTTCTTCTATTTTTTACCCTATTACCCCCTTTATTTAACAAATAACTGTGTCACTGGGGATTTTATTTGTTTCTTAGTGCAACTACTGACGTCCAGACATCCGTCCATGTTTAATAACCCGGGGAAAAGGGGAAAAAAAATTGAAAGTGTCGTCTGCCTCAAATGCCGGAATCGGAAGCATTTCACCCCAGATATTAACTGTTGTGAAGGGTATGTGTGTGTGGCATGAATGAAGGGCATCACTGGTGATAGAAGAGTGATAATTGAGTGAGATATGGGTAGTTTAAAGAGGATTGCTGTGGGGGTCACAGCAGGACGGTCGACAGCGCTGCCAGCCGCCAGGCTGCCAACACCACCCAAAAAACTCGCCACAGGTAATATTATTATTATTATTTATGTGATTTAATATATTTAAATATCGGAGAGGAGTCTTATGACGATGTTTCGGTCCGGATATACATCATCAAGTGGCCGAAACGTAATAATGTCACTCATAAGTCGAACTTTTATAAACTGACAACAGGTAATGATATATTTAAGATTTATGTGTTTAAATAAACTTAATATATAAGAAAGGAGCCACATGATGTTTCGCTCTGTCATAAACTATGAAGGACCGAAACGTCGTTAAAAGGACCCTAATCTGACTTTTTTGGGTTATCCTGGAGGCTAATAACACATATCCTGCTATGTATAGTAATTTATATACCTATGTATAGTAATTTATATACCTATGTATAATTATATAATTTATATACCTATGTATAGTAATTTATATACCTATGTATAATTTATATACCTGTGTATAGTAATTTATTTACCTATGTATAGTAATTTATATACCTATGTATAATAATTTATATACCTATGTATAATAATTTATATACCTATGTATAATAATTTATATACCTATGTATAATAATTTATATACCTATGTATAATAATTTATATACCTATGTATAATAATTTATATACCTATGTATAATAATTTATATACCTATGTATAGTAAGTTATATAACTATTTATATGTACCAATATCCTGTACAATTGAAGTATAATTGATTGTTCCAGTCAAAAATATTTGTGGAATAGTATATACGTGTTGTCCAGGTGCTGTAAACCCTCATGTAAGGCTGACAAATGAGGGGAAGGTTTCGTAACATAACTTATCCCTTAAAAGATGGTGAGAGGCTCTTGATCTGAGGAACTGGACCAGTGCTCCAGTTCCTTGAATCAAGCCTCAGTGTCTTCCATTTCCCAAGGCTCTGTATGACTCCTATGGGTTTAGCGCTCCTCTTCAATGTAATAATTAATAATTATGTAATATAATAATAATATTAATAATAATGTAATATAATAATGTAACAATAATGTAATAATAATAATATAATAATATAATAATAATAATAATATAATAATGTAATAATAATACAATAATGTAATAATAATAATTCAGATTATTCCTAAACCTGATAGATGAATTTAAAGTTTTGAATTATTGTAGTTATTATAGTTGAGTAATCATGCATTGTTATTATTATTGCCACTTTTGTACTCACCTATGTATGGTTGCAGGGGTTGAGTTACAGCGCCTGTGACTGTTCTTTATAGCTATTCAAATTGAAATACAAGACTTTTTTTTTATATTATCTCTGAATGCTGCTTACCTTTCCTAAATAAATGGAAGTTTAAATTCTTACTCATTATACATCTCAGTATAAAAGCCAAAGTCTAATATAGTTTAAGTACAGGTATACATAAATGCAGTGCTACCTCGGGTTACGAACAGCTCAAAACTCGAACAATTATGTAAGTGTATTTATGTAAGTGCCTTTGTAAGTGTCTTTTGGGGGGTCTGAAACAGATTAATCTGATTTACATTATTCCTTGTGGGAATGAATTTGTTCGGTATCGGCACTCGAACAGCCTTCTGGAACGAAAAAAATTCGTATCCCAAGGTACGACTGTAGTTACTCAAATTATCATACATAGTGAAATGTGTAAATTACCTTGGATAACCCAAAAAATTTAGACAAGGTTATTTAGGCACAGGTACACACAAGTACAATTATCATATAAAGTAGCATGTGTGTAAATTACCTAGGATAACCCAAAAAAGTTAATCTCTTATTTCCATTGGGGTCCTTGTAATATCTTATTATTTAAAGCATAGCTGTAAGATAGAGTAGATATCAGTCATGAATATAACCTTGAAAATTAAAACAGTACTTCAAGTGTGTGTGTTTACTGCTACACATAAAAACCCCAGTGGTAATACGTCACATTGCTTGTCATTATTGAGTTATTCTTGGTTTGTACATGGTGAGTAAGACATTGTCTACAGAGGAGTCTTTATTGTACAATATTTCACTATAGATTAGCTTTATCCGGTAAATATATTGAGTAAATAGATCTCCCTGGTGGAAATAAGTCACTTTGTCTGATATTTTGGGCTATGCTAGGTAATTTGCATTATGTATGATTAGTAAGTAAGTAGATTTATTCAGGTATACACAAATACAGTTACATAGATCATACATAGCAACGTATGTCAGAGTGACTTATTTCCATTGTAAACTTAACATACTGGTATGTAATACTGGTGGCGTTGTTGATCAGGTGTTGAGGTAAGTCGAGCCAGGCATTCCTCAGCAGTTAACCACAGCTTATCTTTCACAAAACTACATTAAAATATTAAATTATACTAATTTGCTACAACTGTGCTGCTGTCTATATTACAAGGACTCCAGTGGAAATAAGTCACTTTGTCTGACTTTTATTGGGTTATCCTGGATAATTGACACATGTTACTAGCTATGATAATTGTACTTATGTGCACCTGTATTTAAATAAACTTGTATAATATACATACATAACACACACTCCTCCATATATTGAGCCTGATTGCTTCCCATTACTCAGGTGCTCTATGACTCTTATGGATTTACAGCTTTCCCATTAATGCTGTAATAATAATCAGTCTTTGTATTTACAGATGCCTCTGTTGTACTGACGGAGGACACTGACAGTTTCATTATCGGTGACCGAGTATGGGTAGGAGGTACAAAAGGTGGCGTCATCTCCTACATTGGAGACACACAGTTTGCCCCGGGAGAGTGGGCTGGCGTTACTCTTGACGAACCTATTGGTAAATAGAGATAATTCATATTTTGTTTTAAAATTACAAAAGGAATCCTGTAGCTACACTATATTAGCAGTGAAATTCTTGTCAAAAGAAAAGCAAAATGCAAATCTTTAAAGAAAATATTACGTATGTGGTGGTAGCTATGTATGAAACTTTTAAAACATTCTACGTTTCAGCAAACTCTGGCTAAAATTACAATAGTGGTGGAAAAATGCGTGTAGAACAGGCTAGAACAGTGATTCTCAGCCGGGGGTAAAAAATTCATGGCAAGGGGTAAATATTTGATATTATTTTTGTGCAAAACCTGAATAATTTATTTTTTCTGACCACCTTGTTTTTGTCCCTTTAGGATGGCAAAAATTTTTTGTATGGAGATAAGGGGGTAAATGGAGAAATATATCAAACTGAGGCAGTTAATGATGGAGGAAAAGTTGAGAATCCCTGGGCTAGAATTTTCTGATCATATTTATATAAATTGTAAATTTATTACAGCTGTTGAGTGAATGATGGTGAATATGTTCCATTTTGGGGTCACCCTACCTTGGTGGGAGATGCCCGATGTAATAAATTTTTTATACATGTCTGTCAGAGGCTTTTTGATGTGGGTAATCCCTTTTAAAGGAGCTCCCATTGGGGAGAAAGCTTTAGACGTACAGAGTTGGAGAAACCATACCATGGGTGGGGATTGAACTCGTGGCTAGTTGTAACACTCCAGGCCAGTGCGTAAGCCATTGGAGAAGTATGTGGTGTGTGTATTTTTACTCAGGTGACAATTGTAATTTTATTTATTGCTGTGATAACACACTTCAGAGAGTCATCATAACTGTGCTTAGGGATTTCCCAAAGGAGCTCTCAGCCAATAGGTGGATTCAACTGACATACTGCCAACAATGGTGAAAAAGAGACAAGTTGGAGAAGCTGTAAAACTGACTATGTATATGATATAGACTTGATGAACTTAAAGCTTTATCTCCTAGCAAAATCTTGTCTCAGTGAAGGTTGCCATTGTGTCTGTCAAACAATACTTCGTAGAAGAAGCTTTTATCGGGGCAATGTTGCACTCTGTGTAGACTTGAATAAACTCTACACAGAGCAAAATATTATTACGATAAAAGCGTTTTCAGCAGTGTGTGTTTTTTTGCAAACCAGTAGGCAGACAATGAGTGAAGAAGTGTACTGTCAGGGAATGTGTTCTCTTACTTGATGTACTGATATTTTATTTACTTGTTGTATTGATATATAAATAACAGACTAGACAATTTTTAATAGTGTATTATAAAAGTAATTATTATTTCATCTTTGCAGGTAAAAATGATGGAAGTGTTGCAGGAGTTCGTTACTTTCAGTGCGAGGCTAAAAAGGGGGTATTTTCACGCCTCACTCGACTCTCACGGACGCCTCTCACTGACCAGGACATAGAGATCCTGACATCACGATCATCAACAGTGGGATCAGACTCTCCCAAAGTCAATGGGACTCCTACGACAAGTGTGGCCGCTGGTCCCACTACTACCACACGTAAGGTCACCCCAACTAGTGCTTCCCCAGGCACCAAACACACTTCTGCCTCTGCTGCTTCTGTTAAGCCAGGTTCTCCTGCAGCTGCTTCCACACCAAAGAAAGCCTCTAGCTCTTCGTCAGGTATATGCTCATTAAGCCACATGTATTATTATTTACATTTTCGTGAAGCACTGAACCCATAGAGAAATGGAGACTCGGTCTGATGTCTGGTAAGTTCAAGACAGCTTCATGCCTCATGTATTTTTCCAGTTGCTCAGCTGCTCTCAGAATTGCCAGTGGTACAGTTTGCTTCTATGCAGTGTGATCTCTATATTGTAGTTTTTATTTTATTTCTGTTTGATGCTTTTTAGTTTTATGTAATTTTGAGAAGATTATGTATTGTAGACTATGTGAATATGAACGGCTGTCTTTTTTCTTGAGAAACTCATTAGAAGTACAGATTGAAAATACTGAAAAATTATGGATTTTTTAAAGCATTATTGTTCAGATCATAATAGCATATAACAAGATACAGATGCCTGTTTTATTCCTGGGTTACCAAATTTACATTTAATAATGTAGTGAGGTTAAGTTATATATCGGGAAAAACTAGAAAATTGTAGTTTTTTAATTTGTAAAATGTTTGGCCCAGAATAATAAGATATCAAAAGTTGTGCGATCACCTTCTTGTAATTTAGGCACAGAAGTACAGTTACTGTGCTCATAATGTTCTGATTACATGTAATAATATCATCTTCAGGTAAGTTAATTAACTTAAACTTACAAGTCAAATAATCTAACTTCAGCTATACAGTGTCAAATAGTTTTAAGGACCAGTTTTAGTCTGCCTGAAATACTTTGAATAACCAATTTTTTTTTGAAATGTGTGATTTAAATTGACTAAAATGCCAGGAGCAATGGGCTAGTAATGCCTTCTGTAGAAATTACTTAAAATAATAAGAAAAACTAGTGTTTCTTCCTTATGGATCACCCTACCTCAGTGGGAGACAGCCAGTGTTAAAAAATGTCTCATTTTTGTAATTATTATGTACATTAGGAGAATAAAATTTGTTAATGTATATTACTAAATGTACAGTGAGGAGGTTGGTAGTGAGTACTGTAATGAAAATACAGGTAGGCCTCACTTTACAGCGCTTCGCTTTGTGGCATTTCGCTAATACAGCAGTTTTCAATTATACCCATTCTTCATTTATTCAGACTTCTTACAATAAATATATTCACCACTCACTATAATCTAAGGACGAAAATATTTTAAGGTAAGTAATGTGTGTACTGTATATGCATTTTTTAGGCCTAGCTCTATTGCTCACTTAGTATATGATTGTGTAAACATGTTAACAGGCTTTTAAATTAATTTGAGAGGGAAAAAATGCTGTGTTTCACTTGACAGCAGTAGCTCGGAACCTTACCTGCTGTATAAGCAGGGCCCTGTAGTAGCCTGGAACCTTACCTGCTGTATAAGCAGGGCCCTACAGTAACCCAGAACTTAACCTGCTGTATAAGTGGAACCCTACAGTGGCCCAGAACCTATCCCGCTGTATAAGCAGGGCTCTACAGTAGCCTGGAACCTTACCTGTTGTATCAGCAGGACCCTACAGTAGCCTGTAACCTTACCTGCTGTATAAGCAGGGCCCTACAGTAACCCAGAACTTAACCTGCTGTATAATTGGGACCCTACAGTGGCCCAGAACCTATCCCGCTGTATAAGCAGGGCTCTACAGTAGCCTGGAACCTTACCTGCTGTATAAGCAGGGCCCTACAGTAGCCCAGAACTTAACCTGCTGTATAAGTGGGACCCTACAGTGGCCCAGAACCTATCCTGCTGTATAAGCAGGGCTCTACAGTAGCCTGGAACCTTACCTGTTGTATCAGCAGGACCCTACAGTAGCCCGTAACCTTACCTGCTGTATAAGCAGGACCCTACAGTAATCCAGAACCTTATGTGCTGTATAAGCAGGATCTTACAGTAGCCCAGAACCTAACCTGCTGTATAAGCAGGATCCTACAGTAGCTGGGAACCTAACCTGCTGTATAAGCGGGACCTTACAGTGGCCCAGAACCTAACCTGCTGTATAAGCAGGGCTCTACAGTAGCCTGGAGCCTTACCTGCTGTATAAGCAGGACCTTATAGTAGCCCGGAACGTTACCTGCTGTATAAGCAGGATCCTACAGTAGCCCAGAACCTTACCTGCTGTATAAGCAGGACCCTACAGTAGCCCAGAACCTTATCTGCTGTATAAGCAGGATCCTACAGTAGCCCAGAACCTTATCTGCTGTATAAGCAGGATCCTACAGTAGCTGGGAACCTAACCTGCTGTATAAGCGGGACCTTACAGTGGCCCAGAACCTAACCTGCTGTATAAGCAGGGCTCTACAGTAGCCTGGAGCCTTACCTGCTGTATAAGCAGGACCTTATAGTAGCCCGGAACGTTACCTGCTGTATAAGCAGGATCCTACAGTAGCCCAGAACCTTACCTGCTGTATAAGCAGGACCCTACAGTAGCCCAGAACCTTATCTGCTGTATAAGCAGGATCCTACAGTAGCCCAGAACCTTATCTGCTGTATAAGCAGGACACTACAGTAGTCTGGAACCAAACCTGCTGTATAAGTATTCCCCTTCTGTACAGTAGGAGGACAAAACATATTCCTGTGGAGGATTACAGTCAATAGGGTGGCTGGAAAAAGCTTGGTGATGAAAACAAATCTCTCAGAAAGCTAGAAAAAAAAAAATGTTTTTAGCATTTCCATTCTGTTTTATTCTCGTTTCCTTTATGTGAACGCTGCATCCATCTTTGGCAGCTACAAGAGTAAGAATACATGAAATCAGTCACGTGTGTACATCTGGCAGAAATAAATCACATGCATTCATCTTGCTGATATCAGTCACATGCATTCATCTTGCTGATATCAGTCACATGCATTCATCTTGCAGAAATCAATCACATGCATTCATCTTGCAGAAATCAATCACATGCATTCATCTGGCAGAAATCAATCACATGCATTCATCTGGCAGAAATCAATCACATGCATTCATCTGGCAGAAATCAATCACATGCATTCATCTGGCAGAAATCAATCACATGCATTCATCTGGCAGAAATCAATCACATGCATTCATCTTGCTGATATCAGTCACATGCATTCATCTTGCAGAAATCAATCACATGCATTCATCTTGCAGAAATCAATCACATGCATTCATCTTGCAGAAATCAATCACATGCATTCATCTGGCAGAAATCAATCACATGCATTCATCTTGCTGATATCAGTCACATGCATTCATCTTGCAGAAATCAATCACATGCATTCATCTTGCAGAAATCAATCACATGCATTCATCTTGCAGAAATCAATCACATGCATTCATCTGGCAGAAATCAATCACATGCATTCATCTTGCTGATATCAGTCACATGCATTCATCTTGCAGAAATCAATCACATGCATTCATCTTGCAGAAATCAATCACATGCATTCATCTTGCAGAAATCAATCACATGCATTCATCTGGCAGAAATCAATCACATGCATTCATCTTGCTGATATCAGTCACATGCATTCATCTTGCAGAAATCAATCACATGCATTCATCTTGCAGAAATCAATCACATGCATTCATCTTGCAGAAATCAATCACATGCATTCATCTTGCAGAAATCAATCACATGCATTCATCTTGCAGAAATCAATCACATGCATTCATCTTGCAGAAATCAATCACATGCATTCATCTTGCAGAAATCAATCACATGCATTCATCTGGCAGAAATCAATCACATGCATTCATCTGGCAGAAATCAATCACATGCATTCATCTGGCAGAAATCAATCACATGCATTCATCTTGCTGATATCAGTCACATGCATTCATCTTGCAGAAATCAATCACATGCATTCATCTGGCAGAAATCAATCACATGCATTCATCTGGCAGAAATCAATCACATGCATTCATCTGGCAGAAATCAATCACATGCATTCATCTGGCAGAAATCAATCACATGCATTCATCTTGCTGATATCAGTCACATGCATTCATCTTGCAGAAATCAATCACATGCATTCATCTTGCAGAAATCAATCACATGCATTCATCTTGCAGAAATCAATCACATGCATTCATCTTGCAGAAATCAATCACATGCATTCATCTTGCAGAAATCAATCACATGCATTCATCTTGCAGAAATCAATCACATGCATTCATCTTGCAGAAATCAATCACATGCATTCATCTTGCAGAAATCAATCACATGCATTCATCTGGCAGAAATCAATCACATGCATTCATCTTGCAGAAATCAATCACATGCATTCATCTTGCTGATATCAGTCACATGCATTCATCTTGCAGAAATCAATCACATGCATTCATCTGGCAGAAATCAATCACATGCATTCATCTTGCTGATATCAATCACATGCATTCATCTTGCTGATATCAGTCACATGCATTCATCTTGCAGAAATCAATCACATGCATTCATCTTGCAGAAATCAATCACATGCATTCATCTTGCTGATATCAGTCACATGCATTCATCTTGCAGAAATCAATCACATGCATTCATCTTGCAGAAATCAATCACATGCATTCATCTTGCTGATATCAGTCACATGCATTCATCTGGCAGAAATCAATCACATGCTTTCATCTTGCTGATATCAGTCACATGCATTTATCTGGCAGAAATCAATCACATGCATTTATCTTGCAGAAATCAATCACATGCATTCATCTTGCAGAAATCAATCACATGCATTCATCTTGCTGATATCAGTCACATGCATACATCTTACTTTTATCTATATGTTCTTCGAGAGACATAGTTTATATATCCACTTCTCAGGTGCCATTTCCCTTATACTGTATTCATATATTTAAATGATGCCCCTTGTTGTGTATCATATTATACATAAAAGTGCAATTATCTCTTGTATTTTGCAATTTTGGCATAACAGATTAAAAATCAAGATCTTGCTCTCTATTTTTTCAATAGAAATGTGTTAGTTTTTCATCTTTACCTCATAGTGAACAAGAAGGCAGAATACCGTGACTGGAACAATGCACAAATAACCTATACATAGGAGAAAGAAACTCATGACAATGTTTCGGTCCGACTTGGACCATTAACTAGTCCAAGTCGGACCAAAACATCATCACAAGTTTCTTTCTCTTATGTGCAGGTTATTTGTATATTACCTCATAGTCTGAAGTCTTGATCACTTATCTGTGAAGTCTCAGTGTATCTTTGAAATTTATTCTGCTGCTGGTACTCTTGAGTACCAGCATGCATTTGTATTTTCCCCTTTCTATTCATGAACTTGTTCATCTTATAAAGTTTGACACTTAACTTTACATCCTTGAATCTTGTCTTCTCACTCTTGAATCTTGACTTCTTACTCATGAATAGGTCCTTATTATCCTTGAATCTTAACCTTCTATATTTTAGAGTTCTAATTTCATCCCAGAAATTATACAAGTTTCCTGAATTTTGTCGTTGAGTACCAAGTATATTTTCTATTGCAGTTAAAAAAATTTAGATTTTTCCTCACATGGGCATGACTTAACCCTTTCAGGGTTTCGGCCATACTAGTACGGCTTACGCATCAGGGTTTTTGACATACTAGTACACCTAAATTCTAGCGCCCTCAAATCTAGTGAAAGAAAGCTGGTAGGCTTACATATGAAAGAATGGGTCTATGTGGTCAGTGTGCGCGGTATAAAAAAAAATCCTTCAGCACACAGTGCGTAATGAGAAAAAAAAAACTTTGACCGTGTTTTTGGATTAAAACAGCGACTTTGCACTGTATTTTCGTATGGTATTTATTGTTGTGTTTTAGTTTTCCTGGTCTCATCTTATAGAATGGAAGACATATTACAGAAATTGAGATGATTTTGACTGGTTTTACAAAGAAAAGTACCTTGAAATTGAGCTCAAAGTAGCAGAAATGTTCGATTTTTACCAAAGTTCGAAAGTAAACAAATCATGCCAAGCGTCCAGTACACGTTAACTGGTGAGTCTAATATTCTTTCACAGGTCCACTGATATTATTTATACCATTTCTACACCAATGCAGTAGTCTGCATAACAGTAAATCTTCTATTTTTTTGTGAGAATAAAAATTCAAAGTGGAAAGCAAAAGAATGTAAGAGGGGCGTGGGGACGTGAATAATGAACAAAGGAAATGTTATTTTAGTGCCAGGAATGTCTTTCTTGTTTATTCTGGACCCTGTTCGGAAATTGGCATCTTTTGAAATTTTGTGAAATTGGCAAAATTGCTAAATTCTGACCACTGTATTGGATAGTTGAAATCTGTAAATGGGTGGTTTCTTGTACTCATTCGATAGAAAAAATTGAGTTCTAGCGAAATAGTTATGATTTTTGTCGACAAGTACACTGGAATTGGTCGAAAATAGGGCTCAAAGCGGGCAAAATCGCCGATGTGTAAACATCATCGAGACTGCTAACTTCGCGAGAGCATAATTCCGTAAGTTTTCCATAAAATTTCATACTTTTGGTGTCATTATGATCGGGAAAAGATTCTCTATCTTTTCATAAGAAAAAATAATTTTTTTATTTTTGAAATTTGGGCGACCCTGAGAACAAGTCTCTGAGAGGGCCTGTCGACCCTGAAAGGGTTAATGGGGACATATTTTCATGTGAGACTTGAGTCCTGGAGGTGAAGAGTAAATGCTAGCATTCTGAGGGAGGGGTGGAGATATGTTGCAGCTTTTGAACTTTAACCCTTAAACTGTCCAAATGTAGATCTACGTTCACTCGCGTCGTGGTCTGAACGTAGATCTACGCTTTTTTACATTCTTTCTTATGGAGAAAATCAAGGTTGGAGCGCTACGCGCGATAACGTAGATCTACGTTTGGACAGTTGAAGGGTTAATATCTGCACACCTTTGCTAACTCTATGAGTGATGATGAAAGTGTTCCTTCTTTTTTGGGTCACCCTGCCTTGGTGGAAACGGCCGATGTGTTAAAAAAAAAAATCAGGCTTTCTAATTGTTTGACGCCTTATTCCCTTTTAGCTTCGTCATCTTCGGAGGTGAAGGTTGGGGATCGTGTGGTGATCACCAGTGCTGCCGGGGCTCGACACGGCACCCTGCGCTTCGTTGGGAAGACCGATTTTGCAGAGGGCATCTGGGCTGGGGTAGAACTAGAAGAACCAACTGGCAAAAATGATGGTTCAGTGGCTGGCAAAAAGTAAGTTCATTAACAGATTGTTTTTCATTTTCTGGGTAGAATGCATATAGAGAATGAGTAACTTTTACGTACCTGAGGTTAGTAATAAATCAGTGCAGATCCTGTATAAATTAATATATGGATGTCTCCTGTTTTTTGTAATAGACATGTTACAGGACCATGACAACTGTACTAAGCTGTCAGGCAGTCTTACCTTTATTTCACATGAACAGTATCTTTGATATGCTTTGCGAACTGCACTAATTGTACACAGGGAGTATATATATTTCATGGATGGTATTACCAGCAGAAATGAAACATGGTAGATCTATATTTTTTATATACATTATTTATTTACAGTGCCTGCACTCTGAAGGAGGGGTGGGGATATATGCAGTTTTGAACTGTAGTATTGGTGCCCCTCCGGCAAGACAGTGATTGAGAGAGTGATTGTGAAAGTTTTTTTTTTTTTTTTGGGGGGGGGGGGTCACCCTACCTCAGCGGGAGATGGCCGGGTTGTTGAAAACAAAACAAAAATCATTCAGCCCTCCAAATTTTCTAAATTCAAAGATTTTGATTATTCAGAATTTTCATTGAAATTCTCAAATAGATATTTTGTTATGCGCATTTTCATTTGGACTGTCATGATCCCTAAATTAAAAGCCATCCACAGGACCATTGAAAATGTGCTCACTGGATTTTTTTTTAAACTTTCATTTTTTAAGAACGTCAGTATTAACGTAGTTAGATCAATATTTCGAGAGAGCAGTTTTTGAGACTTAAAATGACTCCCTCAAGCTAGTCAGCTTTTGGAAACCTTAGCATGCTGGAAGACTTCTGCCAAACATTTTAGCATGTTCAGAAAATGAAATCATTGAAAAGATCCCCCCCCCCCCGAAACACCAAGACAGTAGTTTTTTGGAGGGAAGGGGCATGTAAAACTCGTTCAAATACAAAAACCAAATGTGAAGGAGAATTTTCATACAGACTTTTTTTTTTTTTTTAAAAACGTTTGCTTTTTCTGTACATGCTGTGTGTGTACTCTGACGGTACATAAAAATCATGTTCAGTGAACTTCCAATTTGGATTAATTGGGTAGAAATGCATTCTTTTCAAGAGAGAATTCTGATTGAGAAAGTTCTTAATTTTTCTTTAATAATGATAAAAACATGTTTTGGAACATAAATGTATTGAAAGGTCTTGTAAGAATCACAATTCTCATAGTTGTTGTAATACACTACAATACAAACAAAATATACAAATTATATTTGTTTTATTTGTTTATGCACTAATACAAAATGTAATTTACACTTTTTTTTCTCAATACATTGGCAGTCTCCCACCAAGGCAGAGTAACCTAAAAAGGAAAGAAACACTTTCACCATCATTTAAACTTTCAACATCATTTAAACTTTCAACATCATTTAAACTTTCAACATCATTTAAACTTTCAACATCATTTAAACTTTCACCATCATTTAAACTTTCAACATCATTTAAACTTTCAACTTCATTTAAACTTTCACCATCATTTAAACTTTCAACATCATTTAACACTTTCACAATCATTCACACATAATCAGTGTCTTTGCAGAGGCTCTCAGATATGACAGTTTAGATGCCACTCCAAACAGCCAATAAAATATTGTAAAGCACAAAAGAAAGCCACTAGCATGCTGTGCTATTTTTAATCAAAGAGTTTTCCACTTACAGCAAAAAGTATGAAATATTTAGTGAAATTGTGCTATTTGTCAACATGTTGATTTGTGTATTACAATATCTAAATCTGCTTTTTCTGATTTATTATTTATAGAGAAATGCTGTGTAGACCCCATGTGTTTACATGTGTAGAAGTCTTCACAATCTATGATTAAACCCAAGATTAGACGTTATGATTATATAAGAATATAAGAAAGAAGGAACACTGCAACAGGCCTACTGACCCATGCGGAGCAGGTCCATGTACCCCCCTGGATTAGCCCAATGACCCACCCAGTCTGGTCACCTCCACTCAAGGATGGAGCACGGCACCAGACCCAGCAGCACAAGATAGTCAGGTCCAACTCACACCCACCCACACCCACTCATGTATTTATCTAACCGATTTTTAAAACTACACAACGTTTTAGCCTGAATAACTGTACTCGGGAGTTTGTGATTGTTGTCCTTAACCATTATAATTTGAAAGTCGTCGATGGCTTTCAGAGACTTGCTGGTTGGCTGGACTTGAATCCTGGAGGTGGGAAGTACAGTGCCTGCACTCTAAAGAACGGGTCTGGGATTTTTGCTGTTTAGCGTGACATCTGAACTGTTGTGTTTATGCGTCTCTGGCAAGACGGTGATAATGTGAATGATGTCGAAATATTTAATAAATTATTAGAAATTATGAAAACTTAATCAGGTAGTATTTGGTATAGCATGAAAAAAATAGGGAAATTAGATTATGGTGTCATAGTAAAACAGTATGATAAAGTGTATTATTGAAATTTTGCTTTTCCTGCAGATATTTTGAATGCAAAGATTTGTTTGGTCTTTTTGCTCCTATTGCTCGTGTGAGCAAATGTCCCGGGGGTTCTACACCCCGTCGGACATCTGTAGTACCCCAGGTGCCCCGAGCCACTGTTCGGCGATCTAACAGCAGGGAGTCGCTGGGCGGATCATCCGTTGCATCGTCCACCACTTCATCTATTCGGGGTACCAGGGTAAGACTTGGCGTCACATCACTCACACCAGGCCAGGTACGGTGTCTCCCAACTTCTTGCTGTTATTTGTGGATGTTATCCTGGGCAGTGGCTTTCCGAAAAGTATTTTTGTGTTAATATTCCCATTTAACTGTTAAATGGGCATTGTAGATGTAAATCTGTATTCTAGCAATGGCTAAAAGTGTCTTGCTTCATAATAACATTCCTGAATATGCATTTCTAAATACAATTTGATTTGTATTGAAGCTTTTTATTAATTAAAAAATAATGTAATGAGAGGTTATTTGCTTTGTTTAATGCAAAAAAGCATTGTTAGTAGACTGTCTTGAGTGTGAGATGGAATGTCATGTCACTGAGCCTTATTTGGTGTCATTCACAGCACTGTTGTTCTTGCCTGTTGTAGTTGCCAGAATAAATTAATGTTTATAATAAGACTTTTAAAAGCCACTGCTTTAATGGATCACAGTATAAGCAGCAGAAATATGGGGTAAGCTAGACCAGCCTTTCTGTACAATGATCTGTAGATCCAAAATTTTAATATAGCAAGAGAAATATGTTTTTTTTTCTGTAGATATTAGTGGTTTATTGAATTTTAGCAAAAGCCGAGTGTTATTCACAAATGTTAACAATTTTTTAGTTAATGTGACTCCAAGACAGTTGTATTGAAGTTTTGACAAATTATATTGACGACTGCTTAGTTGCTAATAATGTTAAATATTTTCTGGAAAAAGGTTGCACTAATCTAACTGTGTTGTAGAAGGGGTGTACATGAGGGACTGTTTGTTCACCTAACTGTAGTGAAGGTTGTCAGTGGAAGTTGAGTTTCAGCTCCTGGCTCCACCTCCTGATCTTCAGATGGCTGAAGTAGTTAGCACCTAGCCTCTTGGACATTTATACCGTAGCAACTTTTTAATCCATATATGGAATTTACCTGCACTACATCTTCCTTTGACTTGTTCAAATTTTGCTTCTCTGTCACTTAAATACTTTCTAATTCCCTGTGGTTCTTTGGATCTTTAGCTTCTCTGTTACTTCTTATTCTTGTCCCTTTCATACCAGACCTTGACCATCCTGTTGATTCCTATATTTATTTTATTTGTTGTGATAATATATTCCATTTCTTTGGGGAAGTGGAGAAGAATTCTTCCTCCGTCAGCCATGCCTGTTGTAAGCGGTGACTTGTTAAAAAAAAAATTATATACAGCCTTTCCTCACTTGACGATGGAGTTCCGTTCCTAAGACCACGTCGGTAAACGAATTTGTCGCTAAGTGAGGAGCATACTATAATGGTAGTGGGTTTGTGTCAACCATCTTTGATATTATTTTAATGTCACCTTTGCACCATTTGTAACATTTGTGGTATACGTATTTTTAAATGTTTATACAGCATTGTACTGTATATTGCAATAAAAAGAATAGAGGAAATCATCTCTAATATACATTATTTAGGTTTGCATACTGCTCAGAGAGCCCATTGTAAGTCCGAGTTGTCGGTAAACGAGTATGCCGTTAAGTGAGGAAAGGCTGTATATATATATTCCCTGACTATTCATGCAGCTTGAGGCTGAGCTCTTATGACTGTAGGGACCTCAAGGATGTATTTGTGTCTTTAAATTTTAAATTGATGGGATATGTAACATGCAAATTTTTAAAATTTTTTGAGTTGAGATTTATTTTTGTCGTATTTGTACGAGTGATATTTTTTGTTTTTGCAAGTGATTTATGATTTTATTGAATAGTTTTACTATGGGTGGTTATCTGTTTATTTGTATTTTCTATTTTTCTTGCAAAGAATTCTGACTAATCTCATAGGTCAAGTGTGCTGTAAATTACATAACTTCCTTTATTCTATCCTTTTAATTCATGTTCCCACCTCCAGAACCAGCCTTTTTTTTTTTTTTTTGTAAATATTTGGACTTGAGATTCTGTATGTGCTACTTATTCAAGAATTGGCCTGAAGTCTAGTATACTTCCTGTACCTAAATCATTAATCGTTTGATATGATGCCTTTCTAATCCCATGGTTTTGTTATATTTGAATCTGTGATTCTCACCATCCTCTCACAGTACATTCCACTTGATACAATCAGGAAGAAATATCTTGTATATTCTTAGCTTCTATTGGCATTTTTGTCTGCTTTGTTGAAAGTTATACATTATAATCATGTTCACCTGGAACCTTTTTCTCTTCAGAATTTGAGATTAGATTTTTCAGCCAGTCCTCATAGTTCAGGTCCTGTTACTCCTTTATATTATGGGAATAAAACAGCTAGTATATTGTTTAAATAAGGTTGCCTCTATGCTTTTCTGTCCTGGATGCCTCTTAGATAAAGTTGCCTAGAAGCTCTTCTGTCCTGGCTGCCTCTTAGATAAAGTTGCTGAAAGCTTTTCTGTCTTGGCAGCCCTCTTAGATGAGGTTACTTGGAAGCTTTTCTATCCTGGCTGTCCTCTTAGATAAGGTTACCTGGAAGATCTTCTCTCCTGGATGCCCTCTTAAATAAGGTTGCCTGGAAGCTTTTCTGTCCTGGCTGGTTTCTTAGAGGCAAGTTCTTGGTGCTAATGTGGTGGTGTGAAAAATATTGATGAAAATGGAAAACTGGCAAGTGTTTGTGAGCTGCCTTTCCTAGATCAGACCTGATTACCTCCCAGTTTCCAAGGTTCTGTATGACCTATGCAGTTTAGCACTTTCCCACAAATATAATGAGGCTCAAAGAATGAAATAAAAGAATTAAATTTGTTCCTAATAGCCCTATCATTGCTTGGTCACAACCAGTAGACAAGATAGTCAGAAATATTGTCTAAATGTTGATTTCTGGTGTGTGTAGTGGTTACTGATGCTGTCAGAAATATTTCCATGCTGTCAACATAAGCAAACTAACGTTGAATGAAAAGCAGGGGTGTGGTGGGCACAATAAGGGAACCCTGTATCAGCATCCGTGACCCCAGATTATTCAACATCTTACCAGAAGATATCAGAAATACTGCTGGAACAAATGTAGAAGTCTTCAAGAGGAATTTGGAAAAGTATCTTCACCAGGTGCCAATCAACCAGGCTGTGGGGCTGCGGGCCAGCTGCAGCAACACCCAGGTTGACCAGGCTAGCACCAGATGAGCCTGGCCCGTGGTTGGGCTCTGAGAGTAGAAAGACTCAAAACTCATCAAAGGTACAAAGATGTACAACTTTCTAAAGAGGTCTCAGGTTACTGAAGTGCATGGTGGTGGTGCACCAATTAGTCGTCTAGATTGTGGGTTAGTCGTGAATTATTATTTTCATGATATCATGATGTGTGTTCCTCTTTATTAAGTAGGAGTTTCTAAGGTAATGTTAATTTCAACTGAACAATGTAGAGATAATTTGAAGAGCATGATTTATTATATTTGAACTTGAGTAATAAAGATAGTTCAGAATAGAATAAAAAGTAGTGACTTTCAAAGAAAGTTAATTGCTAATACTTAAGTTGCAGCTGCAAGTATGGTTGTTATTTTCTGATGCTTTTGTGTAGCATAGTGTTCTTTGAAAATTTGTGGTTTAAAGGTAGTGTAAGATATTTGCTCTGAAAGTGCATAGATTTGTATATTCATATGTTGTTGCTGGTGAAGGGCTCTTGGTCCAAGGCATGGAGTTACCATCCCCCTCCTTGGACCAAACCTGTTTACCTCCCATTCCACAGGTACTATATGGCCTTGATGTGTTTAGCACTGCCCAGTGGATATACTGTAATAATAATAACAATAATAATAATAATTATAATTATAATAATAATAGTATTATATGTTGGTTATGCCTGGTGGCATATGTCAGTTTTTTAGTGAGTATGTCTTGTGTATACTATTGTTATCCAGTCATGTATGATAGCCTGGTTTAGCCCAACTCATGGTTTTGTTGTGTTCACTTCTGCATGGTAATATATAAGCAGCACCAACTTAACCGCTTCATTTATGATAAGCATGAACTAGAATTAATCTGCACTTATTTGCTTCCCAATGCAGTCATCTTTACAAATTTCCCGGTTTCTTCTATGTTCTGTATTTGTGAATTTTGTTTTTCAGCTGTTACTGAAGGACAGCTATTGAACAGTCAGTTATTCAGTGCTTTCCTGGCTCACTGGCATTCCTGCTCCCAAATCTCTCTTAATTTTTTTAACACTATACGTCTCCCACCGAGGCAGGGTGACCTGAAATAGAAACTTTCACCATCATTCATTCTTAACACTTGCCAGAGGCATACTGATAGTACAGTTCAGATACCCCCTCTGGACTACAGATATCACCACACTTCCTTCAGGGTGCAGGCACTGTACTTCTCACCTCCTGGACTGAAGTTCAGCAAACCAGTTTCCCTGAATCCCTTCACAAAATATTACCTTCCTCACACTCCAACAGCTCATCAAGTCTCAAAAACAATTTGCCTCCAATCATTTCTATCTAACAAACTCACACACACACCTGCTGGATGTCCAAGCTCCTCACAAACAATACCTCCTTTTCCTTCAACCCCGAAGCTTTCCCAGTGTGACCCCTACCCTGCCTACCTGCCGCTACAGAGCGGTCCTCTCTAATATATAAAATAAACCCTTATCTGCAACAGAATTTGTTATGAAGATGTAATTTTGTATCATTTATGATTTCTAACTTTGCAGTTCTTCTTGAATATAACTCCTGGAAATTTGTAGTGATGACTGTAAACTGTGCTTCAAAATAATTTTCCACATACTGTACTTCATTGGTCATCATTTACTTAGCAAGGCATGTACAGTGGACCCCCGCATAACGATATTAATCCGTGCATGAGAGCTCATTGTTATGCGAAATTATCGTTATGCGGATGAATTTTCCCCATAAGAAATAATGGAAATCAAATTGCAAGACACCCCAAAGTATGAAAAAAAAAATATTTTTACCACATGAAATATTAATTTTAATACACACAAACTGAAAAAGGCATGCACAATTACATGACACTTGCCTTTATTGAAGATCTGGTGATGATTGATGGGATGGGAGGAGGAGAGAGTCTTAATGTTTAGAAGGGGAATC